TCCCTGATGGCTTGGTACCCTATGAACCTGGTAGGCTTATCGTAGGATCAGCTGACAACATAGATGTCAACGAATCGACAATAACTGGTCAAGGTACATTCCATTGCACACAGTGGAATGCTTGGCAGCGCGGACCTCCTTCTCCTAGAACTGCTGTTAAGCGTGTTCATGGACGAGAGAAGGCTTTGAGAAAGGAAACGGTCGAAATGTTGCATGATGTCGATCCCCCCAAACTACCCATTGGCACAAGAGTTGAACCCAGAATTCCGAATGCTGCTAGCATTGAACCGAATGAGTGGTTTAAAAATAGTCCATGTAGGAAGGCAGCAACACGAATGACACACGTCTGGGTAATCTCCAGAATGGACACCAGCAATGGCTGTGATGTTCCTCCATGGGCAGCATTCAATGAGTGTGTGAGTACTGTAGATCCACCACCGACGACAATGGGAATGGCACCGATCCACAATGCTATTGCGGATGAATATGGGACTATCACAACGATCATCAACCGATTTGTCCTGCTCAGCGGAAACCTTGGACAGCGCCATACCATCGTTTGCTTCGATCAGCCTCTCTATGCCAAAGCAAAGGAGATCGTGTGGGCTTCTGAAGAGTACTGCAACGTAGTTGTCCTGCTTGGTGGTCTCCATATCACATTCAACTTCCTTCGGGCCATTGGTCAGCAAATGGAAAGTGCAGGCCTAGATGATGTGTGGGTTGAGTCTGCAATATTTGGACAGAATGCTGCCAAGTCAATGATGGATGGGAAACATTATTACAGGGCTATTCAGGGACATATCTGGGCCTATGAAGCACTTAGTCGAATCAAGTTTGAAGCTTTCTTGGATTGGATACAGCAGCAAAATCCTGAACTCCATCAGGAACTGGTTGTGCATCGATCAGCAGTATCAGCATTGTTCAAGAAATATGGTACGAGAACCCGAGAACCCGAATGCCTGTTGAATGCTGTGGCTGAATTCAACGAACTCCTCGACCGTACAGAATATGTAGAGAAAACTGACGAATTCAACAACATGCTGAAGCAGAATCCCAACAATGCCTCCTGGTTGAAGTACTTTGAGATGGTGGAAATATTCTTCGCATTCGTCCGCGCTAATCGAGATGGTGATTGGTTGCTCCATCTTGATTCGTTTGCCGCAATGTTACCTTGGCTGACCATATATGATCATGTCAACTATGCAAGATGGGGTCCTGTTTACCTCGCTGACATGAAAGGACTCGCACAGACCGCACCAGAAGTCCACGAAGAATTCCAGGCAGGGAATTTCGTAGTGAAACGACACGCAGAAAGATTTAACCAAGTTCCAGTAGATCAAGCCACTGAATGGGTTAACAAGGTATGCAAGCTATCAAATGGTATAATTGGCATCACTCGGAATGACACGGCAAGGGACAGGTTCTGCACAACTTGGTCTGAAAGGTCACATATATCAGAGGACACCCTGCATCTATTCGGTCTTCGCAACGACGATTCTGAGGAATATTTCTCAACTCGTAAAGATGGTCTTCCATCCAAAATGACACGGGATTTGGATGCTGTGTCCAAGCTTGAGGCACAGTTCCGACGATTTAAGGCGTTCACAATATCCGATCAAGATGATGCACCCCCCACTCAGCTAGAATCACTGACTACCAACGACATTGCCACCGAAGAGATAGCTGCAGACCTCCTCACAGCCGACAATAGAGGGAAAGATGTCGTGTTGAAGAATGTGAAGAAGAGATTAGTGGAGAAGTCTGTACCTTTCTTCGATCGACAGAAACGCCTGAAATCAAAGACGTTTGCAACCCTCTACGAGACACTGGTGCAAGATAGGAAGCAGAAGGTCACCAAGACAATCAAAGCAGACAGGCAACTGATGCAGAGATTGTTCAACGCGTCACAAGCTGGGCGAGTAGTAGATCTTCAAAATGTACTGCAGCATGAGCTGTCGGTTGTTCCACTTAGTTTGGCTAATACGGATAAAAAGATGAACAGTACCCAGAAGTCTGCAATGCTCCCCCTGCTAACCACGGGTATTGGTATAGAGAAAGTCAAAGGGGCACCTGAGACCACAGGAAAAACCTGTATCATAATCGATGGCCATGCATTGATACAGTCCCTAGGGAAGCCACCAAATTGCAAGACTTTTGGAGACTATGCCAAAACTTTCCAGAAGACCGTGGTGAAGCAGTTCTGTGGCACAGTGTCCAGGATCGACGTCGTATTTGATCAGTATAGACTTCTATCGATCAAGTCGACTACACGAAGCAAAAGAGTTAGGCAAACGAGACCAATCCGTAAGGTGATCAACCGGGATGATCTTCCACTTCCACAAGCATGAAAGAACTTCATCGCCTTAGGTGAAAACAAGGAGAACCTTGCACTGTTCCTCAGTGGAAAACTGGCAACGCACAACGATACTGTCAACGAAGTCGTAGTTGGTGGCAGCAAACTAAACGGATTTTCAACGACAAGGGGAGTCATCCCAACACTGAATGCCAACCACGAGGAAGCTGACACAAGGATAATCCTCCATGCCCTTGAAGCCATTGATGCCGGTTATGAAAACATAATTGGGAAGTGCCGTGACACAGATGTCCTGCTCTTGCTCCTTCACTTCACCAGGGACAAACTCTGCCATGTGTGGATGATGAGTGGCACATCCAAGGAGCAGGAGTGTTTTCCAGTTCACATCATCAACGAGACCCTCCCTCCGGCAGTTGTGGAGAATGTTCTTGGGTTCCATGCCATAACTGGTTGTGATACAGTGTCATCATTCGCTGGCCATGGCAAAAAATCATGCTGGAATGTCTACTTGCAACACCCGGAACTGTTGCATGGCGTTGGCCGAGATGGGCCATTAAGTGATGTCGAGGAGTTCGTATGTAACCTTTACAAAGCTCCACACTCTAGTTCCGGTGTCGACAGAGCTAGGCATGACTGGTTCCAGAAAGGGAAGAAGGCACTTGAAATGCTGCCACCAACTAGTGACGCTCTCGAATTGCATATGTCACGTGCGAACTACCAGACAAAAGTATGGCTGCAGGCAAACAAGGCTGACGTAGTTGTTCCTGACCCCGAGGAGACTGAAGGTTGGCAGGCAACTGATGGACGATTAGAAGTGGTGTGGTTGCGGACACCATCTGTTCCAAGTAGCTGTTTGGAACTTGTTACTTGTGGATGTAAAAGCAAGGCGCACACAAGCTTACCGTTGCCACAAGATAGGACAACGATGTATACCTGCATGTGGCTGCGATGCTGAAGGATGCATGAACACAACAGGGGTGAAGATTGAACAGAAGTGAATTGTTGACGGGTGAACTGAAATCGATGGAAAATGATGTGTTGTTTCTTAAAGTTACTTATCCTATGCATGATTTGACCTTGAAATGAATGACATCATAATTTTGGAAGTAGATGATTCTGAGGCTTCCAGCCACTGTGGTGCATTCTTGATGATGAAGCAATGGATATTTTTTGGTAAAAGTGACTTTAAAATGAATGGATCTTAGTTTAGCGAATTCCAAAGAATAAAGAGTAAAAAGCATTTATATTCATGAATCGCTTCACATTTACCTATTATTTTAGAAGTTAAACCCCTTATAACTCATTAAATATTCAATTGTTCACGCCAATCTCGATGATATATAAAAGTACAAGACAATATTTAAAAAAAAAGAAATTTGACCTCATTTGACCTTTTGACCCCCCAATTTGACCTTCAAGGTCAAATACCATTTTGGCAACCGGGTGATTCGGAAAGCCTGGATCCTAGTGATACTTTCTAGCCTGGTTGCCAGCTAAAAAAAATGCCATCAAAGGTTTTTTTGATGGTCTTGGACTGCCGACTATATTTAGCACGCGCTAATCATACATAACTAAACTATACATATCATAAGCATAATAAAGCATGCGCTGGACGATGAATAGTTAGTTAGTGAAAGCGATTTTCACGCGGACACACACACTGGGTGGAGGGCAGATCAGAACACATCCATGAACGTACCGGGTGCGAAGATTGCTGGTCAGGCCATCACTAGTTCGATTAGTTATTATCGATCGGTAGATGGCTAGCCAGAGGAGGGGCAGCACAGACCAGAGACAGCCGGCCAGAAAGACACGGTAACGAATGAAAAGGGAAGGCGAATAGGTATGAGGACGACGGACAGGCAGAAGGACACGCACGCACGCAACACACATGCATAGCGAGAAGAGAGAGGGAGGCCATGTGGAGAAGAGAGAGAGAGAGAGAGAGAGAGAGAGAGAGAGAGAGGAGCGGAGAGAAACAATGAGAAAGAGGGAAGAAGCGAGTGAGAGAAAGGAAAAAATGCGAGCGATACGTGAGCGCGACGAACAAGAGGAGAGCTGAGAGAGAGAGACGAGAGACGAACGTGCGGAAAAAGAAAGGCAAAAGGGGGGCAGGGAGAGCAGGATAGAGCAAGGAGAGACAACCGAAGGGAGACGCGCCTTGAGTGCGCGCCGAAGAGAGAGAAAGAGAAGAGACCTCCATCGAGAGAAAGAGAGAGAGAGAGCGACGCGCGCGCGAGAGAAGTAACAGAGAGAGAGAACAGCGAGAGAGAGAGAGAAGAGAGAGAGGAAGAGAGAGCGAGGGACGCGAGCGAGCACGGGGAGACGAGAGAGAGAGAGTGAGAGAGAGAGAGGGAGGAGGACAGAGAGCGAAAATGAGAGAGAGGAGAGAGAGGAGAGAGAGAGCGAGAGAGAGAAAGAGCGAGAGAGAGAGAGAGAGAGAGAGAGAGGCGACAGAGAGCGAGAGAGAGGGAGAGAGAGAGAAAAAGAGAGACGAAGAGAGGGGGACAGCGACAACAGGACACAGTGGGGCGGACGGAGCGCACACCGCACACTCCCTCATCCCTCCCCTTCCTCCCCTCCTCACGCACCGCGGCGAGGACTCGCGAACAGTCAGCAGCAGAGCTCCCGGCGCCGAGCACGGTCGTCCCCTTCCGCGCACCGCTCCGTCGCGCGCGCCCCGACAATGACGGACGTCGCCGAGCGTGCTTCGCACGCGCTACTCGTCGGCACGGCGACGGCGCTGCTCGTGCCCAACCTACCCGACTACCGGCTCGTCGTACCCGGCGACGTCTACCTCGGCGCCGTCATCTCCATGTCGCAGTACGATGCGACCGACTTCTGCGGCGTCGGCAACAACAACTTCAACTTCCAGTTCGTCTGGGCGTTCCTGTTCGCCGTCGAGCAGATTAACGCCGATCCGGAGCTGCTTCCGAACGTGACGCTCGGCGCCTACCTACTCGACGGATGCACGAAGGATTCGACGGCACTGGCGCAGGTGTGGTCTTATAATAACAGGTGTGGTGTTTATAGCAGGTATTCGCATCATCGCAAGTGTAGGTCTTAGCTCAGGTATAGTGTTGTCACAGATATGGTTTTATCACATGTATGGTTTTATCACAGGTGTAGGTCTTATCACAGGTATGGTTCTATCATAGGTATAGCCATATCAGAGGTATAGTCCTATCAGTGGCATAGTCTTGGCTCAGGTGTAGCCTTAGCTCCGGTGTATATTATATAAGCAGGTATAGTCTTAACTCTGGTGTAAACTTAGCACAGGTATAGTCTTATCACAAGTGTAGTCTTATCACATATGTAGTCTTAGCATAGGTTTAGTCTTAGCACAGATTTATATTATATACACAGCTATAGGTACGCACACACGCCCGACGAACAGGTATAATTTTATGTTACTGAATACGTCGCACAGATGTGCGCATCCCATTTCTCTATATCGTTTCGTATGTGACGAAGCGGTAGGTATGGCGTATAGCCTAATGGTTGCCGAGAATACGAACGACTGGGCGTCTTCATTGTGCACATAATGAAGCCGGCAATTGGGTAAATATTCGAGAAAACAGGTGCGAAAACAGCTGTGTAAATAGTTGAGTGAACATTCGAGTAAAACATGAAATAGTAGAAAACGGTTGAGTATACAGAATAGTAAAAAAAAAGTTTGCAAGTCATTTAGCAAATATAAGAAGAAAGTGTCACGGTTATATCAAATATGTAACATAAGTTTGTAATATAATTTAAGTAAATAAAAACTTAAGTTAATATAACACAGTAAATAAGTTAGTAAATTGTCGAGTAAACAGTATACACAACAATTAAGTAAATATGGTTCAGCTTCGACGTGTCTCTGTGACTCAATAACGATCACCGCTGAACCATTCTGCGATTAATACACTGACAGATCAACTAATAATAAACAGCAGTAATCATCACGACATCACGCTTGTCACATACTCATCCACATGGTAAACTGTTATTACCACGCCCCCTGTTATAACAGTACACTGCTTTTAGGCGTACTAAACTATTTGTAGATCTCGCCTTTAGTGTTAGATTGTTTTGCTTTTATTTTTATATTCATATATTTATTGCGTTTATGCTTTTACGCTTATTATGCATATACATCCGTTTACGTTATATACTTATAATATATAACTTTAATTCTTATCTTATAGTTACTCTGCTGTGGACGACCTGTTGTAGAGCCTAGCTGTGCTGTGCGCGTTTCGATGTTCTCGATTGATATACACTACATATCGCTACGGCTACATAACAAACTACAATAGCATATATACATAACTTATACATACATCAGGAGGTGTCATTAATATTAAGAGGCAATTAGTGCGTGACCGTGAAAATTGCTGCCAATCTCATTGGATTAACGCAGGCAGGCACTATGAAGCGATAGTCGCCCGCCTTGAGCGGGCACTATCGGCTTGCCGCGCACGCGATTGTTATTATAAACGCATTGTGTTTACGTCAACGAACATCTCCTAGCCCCCCGTGCTGGGACGCACGCCAAGGTAATTCGAAGGCGGTTCGTGTTTGTGTCGAACGTTTTGTCTACATCGAATGCCACGTTGGCAAATGTAGGAAGTATAAAAAGGTATAATACGCACATGAAAGTTACGACTTGCCATAGTCATGGCAGTCATGTGATTGCCACTAAAAACATTTAATTGCTTGCGTTGGGCGGCACTTGCTCTATGAGTGCCCCAACAGCAGCATAATAAAATGGACCACTAGTATATTCTAGTACGACTATAGATTGCATCTATAGCTATATACTCATAGAGAGAGAGGAAGAAGATATAAGAGTATATATATATATATGATAGACATATAATCTGCATCTTATAGGCGATGTATATAATATATATAGACAATCCTGTACTATAACAAGGTGCTGCAGATCACTACCGAAGATCGCGGCGAGCCCGCTCGGTCCGCGTCGTCGGCGACTGCGTACAGTTCGATCAGCACTCTGACGTCGAAGGCTCTCGGGCTGTTCAACCTGACGCAGATCAGTCACTTCGCAACGAGCGACGAACTGAGCGACAAGCAGAAGTATCCGTATTTCATGCGCACAATCCTGCCCGACAAATACCAGGTGCGTGCATGCGTGTACAAATATCAGGTACGTGCGTGTACAAATACCAGGTACGTGCATGCCTGTATAAATACCAGTTGCGTGCATGTATAAATACCAGGTGCGTGCATGTACAAATACCAGGTACGTGCGTGTACAAATACCAGGTGCGTGTGTATAAATACCAGGTGCGTGCGTGTACAAATACCAGGTGCGTGTGTATAAATACCAGGTGCGTGCGTGTACAAATACCAGGTGCGTACGTACGTGTACCAGGTGCATGCACGCGTGTATAAATACCAGGTGCGTGCGTGTACAAATACCAGGTGCGTGCGTGTGCAAATAGCAGGTGCGTGTGTATAAATACCAGGTGCGTGCGTGTACAAATACCAGGTGCGTGCTTGTATAAATACCAGGTGGGTGCACGCGTGTATAAATACCAGGTGCGTACATGCGTGTATAAATACCAGGTGCGTGCGTGTATAAATACCAGGTGCGTGTGTATAAATACCAGGTGCGTGCGTACGTGTACAAATACCAGGTGCGTACATGCGTGTATAAATACCAGGTGCGTACATGCGTGTATAAATACCAGGTGCGTGGTGTTACGTGTACAAATACCAGGTGGGCGTGCGTGTACAATACCGCAAGGTGGCATTGAAAAACGCGTGTATAAATATCTAGGTGCGTACCTGGCGTGTATAAATACCCAGGTGCGTCGTGTATAAATACCAGGTGGGCGGGTGTATTAAATACCAGGTCGTTGGGTACGTGTACCAAATACCAGTGCGTGCGTGTATCAAATACCAGTGGCATGCACGCGCTGTATAAATACCAGTGGCGTACATGCGGTATAAATACCAGGTGGCGTGCGTGTACAAACTGGCAGGTGGTGCGTGGTGTGTTACTAAATACCAGTGCGTGCGGTGTATAAAATACCAGGTAACGTGCGTGTACAAATACAGGTACGTGCATGCGTGTATAAATACCGAGGTGCGTACATGCGGTATAACATACCAAGGTCGTGCGTGTACAAATACGGTGCGTGCTTGTATAAAGTACCAGGTGGGTGGCCACGCCGTGTATAAAACCAGGTTCGTAACATGCGTGTATAGAATACCTAGGTGCGTCGTGTATACAATATCCAGGTCGTGTGTATAAATACCAGGTGCGTGCGTACGTGTACAAATACCTAGGTGCTACATGCGTGTATAGAATACCAGGTTGGCGTACATGCGTGAAAAGTACCAGAGTTGCGGCGTGTATAAATACCAGGTGCGTGGGTAACGTGTACAATACCAGGTGGCGTGCGTGTAGCAAATAGACCAGGTGCCTTGCACGCGTGTATAAATACAGGGTGCGTACATGCGTGTATAAAATACCAGGTGCGTACATGGCGTGTATAAATACCAGGTGCGTGCGTGTATATGAATACGTCTAGGTGGCGGGTGTATAAATACAGGTGCTGGGTACGTGTACCCAAATACCAAGGCGTTGCGTGTACAATACTAGGGCATGGCACGCGTGTATAAATACCGAGCGTGCCGTAACAATGGCGTGTATAAATACCAAGGTGCGCTGCGGTACAAATGGCAGTGGTGCGTGCGTGGGTTGTACTAAATACCAGGTGCGTCTGCGTGTATAAAATACAGGTACGTGGGGTACAAATACAGGTTACGTGCATTGCGTGTATAAATACAGGTGCGTACATGCGTGTATAATACCCAGGTGCGTGCATGTACAAATAACAGGACGTGCATCGCGTGTATAAATACCAGGTGCGTGTGTTATAAATACCAAGATGCGTGCGGTAGCAAATACACAGGTGCGTGCGTGCGTGTATAAATAACGCGGTGCGTGCATGGCGTGTGTAAATACATGTGTGTGCATGTAGCAAATACGCAGGTGCGTCGCAATGCGCTATAGAAATACCAGGTGCGTGCGTGTATATTTACCAGCTGCGTGCGTGTACAAATAACAGGTGCGTGGGTGCGTGTAAAATACCAGGTTGTGTGCGTACGTTAAGCAAATACCTAGGTGCGTGCACGCGCTGTATAAATACCTGAGTGCCGTGCATGCGTATAAATACCAGGGCGTGCACGCGTGTATAAATACCGAGTGCGTGCATGCGTGTATAAATACAAGGTGGCTTTGCGTGTACAAATGGCGAGGTGTGGCGTGCGTTGTGTGTACAAAATTCGTAAAATTCGCGTTTCAAAACTATTTATTATATGAGGGGAATGCATTTTGGCAAATTTGGGCGACCAAACTGAGTACAAGAGTTTATCAACTGGTTTCACGAGAACTAATCGCCAAGTATATAGGAGCCTAGTTATCAGCGAGTGTATAATATAAGATATCTCTATAATGATGCATGCTCCTGATATTCATCATATCGGTTTTTGTGCATGTACTGTATAATTTACGAGTCGTTTTATTATTTATTACATTTAATTATATTAGTATTTATAATATAAGTTATAACATATTATTGAAATTTGGGACGGGGATATCTCTATAATACGTACTGGGAAATAAATAAAATAATATATAACCAAACCATGAGCGCCTACTGCCTGCGTTAAAATCGCTGTGTCAAGCGCCCACCCCCCCCACCGCTGCCCCCTGACGCTCCCTCTGCTAAGACCGCCATAAGAACACACTCATGATGACGAACGCGCAGCACTATATCTCGATGAGCGTCACTTCTTCGCCCGACACGCACGCAGAGTCGAGGCGATAGTAATCGCCTCATGCGAGCGCTCACTGGACGTACGTGAACATGATCACGTCCAACGACAACTATGGCCGCAACGCCCGCCAAGGGCGATTCGCCCGTCGCCATCCACGACAAGAGCATCTGCTCGCGCACAGTAGACGCCCGTCAATATCACTGGACGCGGCGTCGCGGCTACGAACGCTCTCGTCACGTCGCTTGCGCGCAGGGCGCTAGCGTGCTCCGTCGCGTTCCTCTTCGAGAGCCAGACGTCGAGCTGGCGCGCGCGCATCTAGCCGCCGACCTCGTCGGCCGCTTCGTTCGTCGCGTCGGCTCGGACGTCTTCGCCGGTCGCTGGTCTGATGTTCGCCGCGTCGAGGCGGCGATTCGGCTCGGAGCGTTCCTTTTCTCTCTCCGCGGACGAACCGACGTGCCGGGATTTCGGCAGTGGATGGTCGACGATGTCGGCTGGAAGCGCGCAATCGACTCGCCGCTCAGCGCCGCTGCGGCGCGTCTGGAGACGGAGCTCGCCTGCTTCGTTCGCCGACGGCTCGTGTCGCGCGACGCCAATACGGCGGCCGCCGACGCGCTCGTTTAGCCCGTCGCTGATGCACGATGTCCGCTGTCCTGCGTTCGGTCGCACGGCGATCCACGCGATACTGAAGCACGACTTCGTGTTTGCGACGTCCGGCCCCGGTCAGGCGGACTCCGGGGCACACTCGCAACATATATCCGACGCAGCCACTTCGGTAACTACCTCCGGCAACACCCGCTTGCCGTGACGGCGACGCCGTCTGGAGGCGTGCTGCATCGCTTGCTCCAACGGCGTCGCGCTGGCTGCGGCACAATCCGGCGACTGCGTTTCGACATGCGTCTCGTAGCGGCCCGTGTTCGTTCACGAGAGTGGCGAGATGCAACGCGAAGTTACCGCTCTACAGCTCGACGGCGGCGACTTCGGCGGGCGGCAGCAGCAGCAGCGGGCAAAGCAGCTGAACGTGCGGCGGTGAAGCGGCGTCGGGCAGCAGCGCGTGCACGCAGCGCGTCCGGTCGGCAGCGGCGTCGGCGGCCGTTCCTTCGCGAGTCGGCTCCTGGAGTGAGACCCGACGCGTCGGCTCGTCGCTGGGACGTCGCCGCGCTCAAAGTGCCGCGACGGTCGCGACGGAGCGGTGCCGACGTCGGCGTGGCAGCCACCGTGCGCGCCGCACACTACTAAGGTGGCCGAGCACGTGCACTGCTGCTGGCATTGCGCCGAATGCTCACGTGCGACGCAGTCTCCTGCTGTCCAGCGAGCGACCCGGCTGCGAACGCCTGCCGCGCCCGCTACACTGGTCAGCACGCGGCGACGGGCCGCTACGTGCGAGCCGATACCGCCGCGATCTGACCCGGCGTGGAGCGAGCCAACATCCGTCGCGTCTCGGCGCTCCCACGTCGGCGAGCGGAATGGCGCGACGTGTCGCCGGTCGGCTGCGTTGGCTTCGTCCGCGCGTCGCGCCGACGCATCGTCAAGCGCGAAGCAGTCGGGAGCTGAGGCGCGGCTTCATGTCGTCGCTATCTTCCTGGAGTATCGCCGCCAAAACCGGGGGTCGCTGCGGCCTCGGTCGCCGCCGACGCCGAACGCGTCCTGCAACCGTGGCGCTGCTCGATGACGGTCACCGACTCGGCGCTCTACGCGCCGCGTGTTCGTGCGTGCGCTGAGAGTGTATCGGCATCTTCAATCGCGTCGCACGGAGGGCAGCGAAGACCGCCCGTCAATGCGAATTATGCGCGCCTCCCAGGCTGAACGATAGGCCAGCTCATGCTGATAGGCTTGCAGTAGGTGGGAGGAAGGTAGAATAAGTAGGGGGGAAGGTAGGAGGGAGAAGGAGGAGGAAGGAAGAGGGGAGGAAGGAAAGGAAAGGAGGAGAGGAGGAAGAATCTAGTAGGTGAAAGGAGGGAGAAGTCAGGAGGAGGAAGGTAGTAGTAGAGGAAGTAGCGAAACAGGAGCGAGAGGAAGGCAGTTGAGCAGGTACGGTAAGAAAAGTTGGCTTGTTGAGAGATAAGTTGGTCGAAGATATGTAATACCCAAGTAGGTTCGAGGAGATCAGTTGATAGCTCGAGATTTCACGTATACCTCTATTAATATCTGCTATTGAATATGCATGTAGTTAACACAATCAACAAAACTTAACGTCATTTAACATCCT